TTAAAGCAATAGTCAAATTGTTATAATTTTAAAGACTGTAACTTCTGTTAAATCAGTATGTACTAGTATATCATAAACCTCCAAAGCTTAAAAAAGATTTTAAAAAGTTTGTATCCTTCATGTAAATAGTATATCAAAAAGATGTAATTTGTAGTACATACACATATAAAGTTGCACGTCAATGTAGTTTGATTACTATGGGTATTAATAAACAATACAACTCCGCGCACGCATTGAGCTCACATGAATTTTTGTACAATTTAACGTCACATTGTTAAAATGAGAATTTGTTTAACAAGGCAACATAATACATCTTGAAATGATTTTATCCCGTTCTTTTTTTATTTCACTTACTTAAGACATAATTTACACAAACTATTAATTAGTAAGATTATGATATGCTAGTGGTTAATGGATTGTGATAGTTCTCAAATGTTTTTCCATGGTTTCTCTTTAAAGGCAATCATCTTTGTACACGTTCTTTTGCTAGCAGTTCTTTGTATTGCCTAAAGAGAAACACAGTACAGCTCATGTAAATTCTGTATTTTCTATGCTTTAACATGACTGGAAAGTACCATGGCCGATATGCGCCGTCAAAATACAAGTAAGAGTAGCTCTATTATGCACGCAGAATCAATAGCAAAACGCAAGAAAAAGTAATATAAATTTGTACATGTACAAATCTTGAGACAATACACTCAAGCCTACTTAACATTTCTTCTATTTTTTGGAAAGATTATCTGTAAACTTAGAAAGGACAAAATCAAATACATTTTGGGGGATCAGGTGCCACGGAGAAGTAAGCACCCCCTGGCAAGTGCTCACATCCGCCTTGTGCATTTTGTCATAATCAGGAAATAACAGGAATATCCGTGGTCACTAACAATCAGCATGGAAAACGTCAGTCAGCATTTGACTCAATGATGAATTGTATTTGTTGAAAAGGTCCATGTATCAACCATAAAACTTAAAAACTGATGACTTTAAAAGAGAATGCCAATAAAGTTGACGATAGAAAAATTTAAAGTCATCACATTTATCACAGAGCCTGGTTGTTAGATTTTCCATTAAAGTCTTTCTTAAGTAAAATATCCAAATATGAAACATGATGTGTAAGACTCTGTGAAACTAAAATAGGAACAAAATAATATACTGAAAGGAAAAAGAAACGCAGGGTAAACTTTTGAGGTGAATTAAATTTGTTTTTCTTAAAATATGTTTTAGTTTTTCTATCTAACATTTAAAACCATCTTTCAAAAAGATATCACCAAATTCCCATTTGATTTTGTCTGATAATTCATGAGTTATTGAAGCTCAACTGACGATACCCCCCAAAAGTGAAAATCGAAATCTCTCTTTGTCTTCAATGCCTCTCCCGAGCATCTGTCAGAGCCTTATTTCTCCTTTGCATGAACATCAGAGTGTTTATCTTTCAAACCATGGCTATATTTGGCATGGGTAACCACGCAAAAAAATAAGCCAAACGGCGCGCGCATGCGCCAGTGAGAGGAATACAACAGTAAGTTGACTGGCTCAAAAAACCAAATTGCGGAATTGTTTTCTTTCAAATTTCTTATGAATGTAATGATTATAATCGTTTACTGTATAAATGGCTGTTTTTGTGGTAGTAAGGTGGCGATTTAAGAGATGGCAGGACGAATAACCCGCTCGTAACATGCCTCTGTTTCGCTTTAACGTCATCGTCACGGTTGATTGAAAACCATTCCAGACCTTCTCCCGACAACGGGTAACAAGTTTTATAGGGAAAAATTTACAAGAAACTGCTTAGTAAACCGTCGTTGCCTTTTTCATTAATTAGGCAGTTTGAAAACAAGACCCCATTGAGCTTCCGTAAACTGTGCCAAGATCGCATGAAATTCAAAATGTCTCTTAATATTGAAAAACCATGTGCATACCTCATATGCATCAAATAATGCAACAAGATTTGTTGACAAACTCGTCGTTATCAATTTGCACGTGTTTTGGGCTTTTTAGCGTTTTCCCTACGTGACGTCATAAGTTTCACGGTTGAGTAATTCTGAATACTGATTTTGGTGCACAGTAACTAAATTTATCTTCTGACCAATTTTCGTAATTTTTGGTCATCAGGTCAAAATTTTTTCGAACATTATGCTACCCTGCGTTTCTTTTTCCTTTCAGTATATTATATTGGTTCGTAACTCAAAAACCACGAAAATTAAAACACGCAAACCTTCAGCTTTTCACAGTATCTAGTTTCCTAGTTTAATTATGTACCCAGTTGCACGTTATGCATATTTAATCACACGTACGGAAATGTCCGATTTGGCAGTGTAAAAAAATATAGAGTGTATAAGATTGATAAAAGAAATGATAAAGGTTCATACTTTTTTAACTTTATGATATACTAGAAGCTTCAGCGGTGTCAAGTCAATCCTTACAGATGTAGAGTGTAATCATGTTCTTTCCACATGCACATTGTAAATTATACACATTAACTAAAACATCACCTGATAAAACTGTTTTGATTTAAATTATATACATTGTTTGAGTTTTAAACACCTCAGGGTCATCAATTTATTATAATGTTTGAAATTGTTTAAATAATTGACATACTAGTATATTTTAAATTAAGAAATAACTTACACATGGTAAGATATGATAACAAAATAACTTTTTTTTCTCCTGAGTTTTTGTTTGCAATCCCGTTCACCCAGTGAAATTTGGCACCGCCCATCTTTTGAAAGCCTTAAAATATACGAGTAGAAGATGGTACATTTTTTTGTTTGGATGGTCACTGTATTTCAACGACATCTACCTTTACGTGTAAGGGGAAAATTGTACCCACTGCACTCAATATTGTTGTGTAGAAAATATTGTGAGAATTTATTGGTCTTTCCCATTATTAACAAATCCACTAAATTGTTGTGTCTAAGGTCTTATTCGGTATTGCCGTTAGGGGACTAATACAAGGGCTGTTCAATAAATAATGTCCTCTGTGCTAAGAAAGAAGCAAAAGGCGCTTTTCAGTGATTTAGTCTTAATGATTTAACTTAACATTCTCTTTTAATTAAAACATATGTCCATAACATTTTTTATCCAATTTCGGGTTGTTTTAAGAACTCATTTGGGGTATTATTCCTAATATAATGGATAATGGCAGATCCTTTGATTTCCTAGACTTGTTTTGTCCTTCTGAAAGGTGTTTTGTCAAGTAATTGTAATTGTAATATAAAATTTATATAGCGCTCTATCGATTTGAGTCCTCTAAAGCGCTTTACAATTAAAATACATAAAAGAGATAGTAGCTGAAAATACATATATACATACATGTGAATAAAAGTAGTCAAGATGTCCCTGTCTAATTATAAAACCATGTTTATATTTAAAAGAGAATCACAAATTAAAGGATAGCTTAATAAGGAGTGTTTTAAGATCCTTTTTAAAACAAGACAAGTCCGGAAATAGAAGTCAAAAAGTCAAAGGTGAATATTGTTAATGTGACAAAACTTTCTGTTTATCCCCAAAATTCTTTTACTCTTCAGGGCTTGCGGGTTTGGATGCTGTCATGAAGAAATTTAATGTAGTGTATTCCCGATTCTGGGTCATTCCTCTAATAAACATTTCGATGTTTTCGCAAAAAAGTGCTTTCTAGACTCCTCCAAAAATTAAATTGTCTCCCAGAATACGAATTTGAACAACAATACCACTAATAATTAAGAAAAATTAATATAAATTTGTCTTTGTGCTATTGCAATTCTTTGCTCTTGTTAGACCTTCGCTGTTTTTGTCAAGTACATCTTATGGTAAATTTTATTTTGATGGTTTTAAGCAATAGATTCAAGTTTCATTATCTGTTTGAATTTTAAACAAACGTTCACAACTCAATTGCTGATATTTTAAAATAATTGTTAAGACATTCGTTCACGCTGTCGTTTTCACTCTTTTTTCAAAATATAAGGTGATCTTTGAGTACTAAGATTTTTTACCGTCAAACGTTTCTTGAAATGTGTAAACTACTCCCGAAATGATGTCTATCAAATTTGCTTTGTGTCTTGAAGTCAATCATACATCATCAAGTATTATTTGTTGAAATTCGGCAAACAGTACATAAGTTATTATAAATTTTGTTGTCAAAGACGGTACCCATTTTTGATGCCCATCATAAAATTTTTAATCATTGAAATCCACCTGCTCATTTGTCTATAAAACAGACATCGATTGCTGTAAACTTCACATATTTCAGTGAATATTTCTTTGGGATGTCTTACTGCAACTTAAATGAAGCTTTTATTTACACTTAAGTTTACTGATTCTTTACCATTCATTTATAATACAATGTCTCGAATACCTCTTATTTTTCAGCTTATCACAATGAAACTATGAGATGAAAAGTGATCACATAAACTGTTATAAATTCATTAAAGATTCCATATTGAAAAAGTGAAGTTTAATGTCATATGATATTGTGACGTGTTTAGGCCTTGGGTCTTTCCTGGTTGATTCTAGGATCTCGGTAAAGATCGATATTTACAATAAATAATTTTCCTCTTAAAAATAATTGGATAAAATGATTAGCCTGCAAATATATACAAATATGGCACTTCCCTTACTTAGGGGAAAATCACACTTGAATGTCGTACAATAACGGGTTCACCCAACGGCACCGGACCGACACCAATATTGCCTTACTCAGGCTCGTAGTGTCAGTCACGACTCTAAGTCCAATCTCCCAGTGGTCAGCCTCTGAAAACAGAAGATACTGAATTGTCCTTATTCAGGACCAACAGTCATCCACTGCTATCAGAGATTTACACTTTCTTAAAAGCTTACCAGGTAAGCCTCAAGGGGGTTGACTTACCTCTAAATGGTTAGTCAAACAATAATACAATACAAACTTTTTATTGTGGCAAGCCTTCGTCGTCAGGCAATCCACACAGTACAGTTAAATAGTTGTGGCAAGCCTCAATATTAGGCAATCAACCCAACTAACCGTATATCCTAAAATTCAGTCTTCTTCCCTCTGCTGCTTGGACTTAAAGAACCCTGCAGCTTAGTTGCACTTGCTTTTATAGTGTTGTTTAAGGTCACATGATCAGCCTCAGCCAATCACAGATCCTCAAATACCGACTTGCATAGTGGAATACACAAAGTCTAAAGCGTTACAATATATGTATTGTATGGCATACAGTTCAGGACATTATTTATTGAATAGCCCTCGTAAATGAACAAATAAAACTGACAAACGAATGCTTAAATGTATTGATAAGTTTTCCGAAATTATCTTTTGGTTTGGTAGCACATTCATGGGGTAATGTCCTCTTTTATGTCTTTATTTCGTCCACATCTATTTTCTCAGTTAAGTTTATTGTACCAGCATTCTCTGATTGTAAAATGCCCAGAGCCTCTGATTTCAAAGAATCTTCTATTGCATCATCAACTAAATCAATGTAAGGAGGAACGTTAATGTAATCATTGGGTTCTTTTTCGCTATGAACTACATCTAAATATGTTCCATCTGCATTGTTAGGATCTATATATGGCCCATCTTCGTCTGTTAAAGTAGTTTCTCCTGGTTCGGGCAAATGTTCGTAACCCTCATCTTGTTCCTCTACGATTTCATAGTTGGGATCGGAATACGGATTTTCTGGATTGGTTAAATCCATTTCGTATGGAGAGTCTTTCGATTTTGGAATACTTGGGAGGCGCATCAATTCTTTTCGTCTTTTTCTCAGTGTTATTGTTCTATATGATTTTGAAAAAGAAATCATGTTAATATATTTTCAAGATTAAGAAACCTGAGTACAATCATAGTCAATATTCTAATAAATATATTAATACTATGTACTTAGATACAAACTTATAAACTTATACACACTTAAGGGGGGACCTATGTCGTTCGACGTCAAAGCAGCGTTATGTGACGTCACAATAGCGACGTTTTTTTTTTTCCCGCTGACTTTTGCAACTGTGATTATAGGCATAACATTGTTATTAATCAAAAACGTACACATTTCACAAAAAGAATTTTTTTTCATCATTTAAAACAGTTTTATTTAATTTATGGAGTTTGTTAATATCAGAATTCTCTTCCTTTGGTTGATAATTCATAGCAAATTCAGTTGTGAAGAAATACCTGCATGATATGCTGATATAAAAATGCAAAAAATATAAGATAAAATTCAGCAAAGACAGCGGCTTAAATTAGGGAAATATGTTTAATTTTATGATTACCATTAATTGCATTTTCTGGATAAAACTAAGAAAAATAAATAAATGTACTTGTACCTATATTTACTTATTGATTTATAGTGTATGTAGATTTTATTGTATAAAGTCATTCCTATTAGGTGTTGGTTGTTGACGGGGAGGGGGGACAAAATGATTAGAATGAAGAAAAAAAGAGTATATCTGTTTAATTTATTTCTTATCAAAACAAAATACTCGTTTTTTGCAAAATAGTTTTATATTCAGATGTTTGTCAGTGCTAACTTACATTTTTTAGTGCAGAAAGGTCAATATTTATGACAAAAGATTACGAAAATAAAAGAAAACGTTTATTTTATCATAAAGGTATACTTTTTTCCTTGTTAAAATAAAAAGATGGGTCATTTCTTTCAAAAAATATGAATTACCACGTTTTCACACAAAGACTTTTTAAGATATTACCTGTTATGCATGTCGGAATTGTAAAAAATACGACAAGAAAAAACGGGGTGATACTTACATTGTGCTCCTGTAAAATTTTTCAAGCGAGATAAATTACAGTGAATTTGCCTTCATTTTAAAGATACAAGTCATGTGAATTAAATACATGTACATGTTGATTTCGAATGTGATTTGACATTTTTGGTTCTTTTTAGCGCATATTTGGAGTAGAACAATAACGTCTGAAAATAATCTATTTTTAGCATTTCACACTGTTTTTGCACGTGCTCCTATGTAAAAATAAGCATATAAAGGTATTGTTTTTAATACCTAAAAATTAAGATCAAGTGGTCAGGAAAGAAATGTCAAAGTTTTGAAAATTTCACACAAAGACTTTTCGGACATAGGTCCCCCCTTAAATAGATTCTTGTACGAATTTTCAAAAGGTTCCACTTTCAAATGTAACATATGCTCTCACTAATCGTAATGTTTGCTTCACTTTATCAATAAACAATTTGTTTAAAATTTATATAATAAAATATATGAAACTAAGAAGGATATTAAATATCAAACATTAAACAATAAACACGGATCTATGACACATCGGTTTTGGATCAGGTACCATAATGATTGCGAAGTAACGGTAATTTATTTACAATGAACATAAATAGGTTTATAATTTTAAAATTGTATGATTAATGGCCTATATAATTTCAATGAAAAACTTCAATCAGTATTTGACTTAATGATAGATTAAACTAGCAATTGCTGACAAAGTCATTGTATCGACCATAGAAATTACGTAATAATGGCTTTAAACGAGACTCTTGAATTTTTTGTTTCATCATCATGTTTATCACTGAATTATATCGTTTTAAAAAAATTTAGAGCATGTCTTGCGTATTGGATCAACTGAGAGATAGCACAGAGTCTGACACATCTGTTTCATATTTGGATATTGACTTGAAAAAGACGTTAATGTTAATAAAACAACCAAGCTCTATGAAAAAAAAACATGATATCTTTAATTTTTCTACCGTTAATTTCCTTTACTTAAGCATCAATACACCTTCATCACCTGCATATGGCGTTTATATATTAGTTGATTCAATATGCAAGAGCATGTTCTGCGTATGAACAATTTCTAAAACACGGTATATTATTGACAAATAAGTTGATGAAACAAGAACATCAGCAGTCTCGCTCTGTATCGTTTTATGGACTTTGATATTGAATACTGTGCGTTATCTCCATATCCCCCATTGACCCTTTGTCCAGGTTATAAGGGTATATTGCTAGATATAAGTGTGATTAGTTGAATTTTTAATCAATTACGTCATCACGTATATCTTTAAGCTTTCTTGTTAGCTTAACATAAACGTATTTTTCTAGTAAAATATTCATAAGGGATTTGGAGATAACGTATGGCATTCAATATCATACCAATATCATACCAATATTCAAGTCCATAAAACAAAACAAATAGGAGCAGAACAATCATGGACCCCCAAAACATCAGAGGTGGGATCAGGTGGGATCAGGTGCCCTGGAGGAATGAACATCCCCTGCCGACCGGACACACCCACCGTATGCTCCTTGTCAGAAAAACACATGTGTAAGAATATGTAGTCTCTTAAATTTCAAGCTCATTGTGATAAATCAAGTCTACATATGAATGTAAAAAAACAATTTTTATTCTATTTTTTTGTTCCTATTTTGAATTTGAAAAAAAATGTAAATAAAATAAGAAAAATAAGAGTTCCATGTGATGTCCACCTATACCCTGAGTCTCTTAGCTTTAATTCTAACTCCCAGAACCATGTCTTATTTACCTTTTATTTCAATAGAATATATTGGCACAATATTGTGATCCAAAGTCTACTTTTAAGAGGGCTTTAATACACTCAATTAAATTTGCACTATTTTCTAAAAGTAACATTGGCGCTTCTTGTCAACAAATTTGAATTCTCATTATAAAAGAAAAGCTTCTTTAACCCAAGTTTGGTTGAAATTTGTCCAGTTGTTTCAAGAAATAAAATAAGAAAAATTTGCACAACAACGACAGCAGAAAACTGACAAATAGTTCACTTTAGCGTGCAGCTCGGGATAACAGAAACTTTTAGTCTGTAGTTAAAAGTCTAGAAAATTGAGGGAGAGTGAAGGTTTTATAAGCATTTTAAGCAAATGTTGAAGGAAAAATCAAGAACACAGACCTTATTTTGTATATGCTGATTGCAAAACTGATAGCAAATATTAGTGCAACCGCAAATCCCACCGCAACTACAACAAACATGAATCAAACAACATGATCATGTAAGATTAATATAACGCTACTGATTTTTTTATTTGCGATATAAAAACAAGGCAGTAAACTGTGAATAATTTTCTTGAAATCACTGTGAATAGACAAATCCCTGTGCATTAGTCACATGAGGTAGTCCCTGCTTTGGGATTAAACAAGATTCCAGTTCCCCTCGACCAGGTTTATTTCCCTCGGCTGCACCTTGGGATATAGTCCTGGTCTTGGGGAACTGGAATCTTCAATGATATACTTCAGCTGTATAATAGTATGATGTAAATTAAATGTTCAACATTGCTCTGAGAAAATACATAAGTCTTTCCTTCATTTGTTTATTGACTGATTGTTTGTATATTGTTAAACGTCCCTCTCGAGAGTTTTTCACTCATATTTAGACGGTACCACGTGCCGGTGGAGAGCTGTTTGTCTTATACTCGGCATTTATATATCGTTCTTTTCATTTAATTATCACCATTTAATTAACTAGAAAACAATATTCAATGCAAAGATTTGATAATTTATTCCCAAATATTTAAATCTTGTTACTTTACAAAAACAGTTATTACGCTCAAAAATTTTTCAAAGTAGATAAATAATAAACAAGGTATAGATTAAAGTTTTATAAAATACATTTATATGCCGTCTAGCTTCACAAGATGCAATGAATAAGGAATCTATTTTATCTTTAGAATCAATGCATTCCTTTGTCGTTTTTTTTTTTTTTTTTTTTTTTTTTTTATCTGTTTTTAAATGCTACCAAACTTTAAAAAATCAATACAAATCATAGAAACTATATACAGAGGAGTTTGTTAAGGCATTTAAAATGTGCTAACTTATTGCTATATTAAAAACAAAAACTTTAGAGTTTTCAAGTCTATAGCATTTTCACGCATAATTTGCAACAGGGATCTATTTTAAACTCCTTTTCTTCGTCAAAATAAATGTAAGGGGATGACAGGGGGAAGACAGTATAGACAGGGACAATGACAGGGGACGACAGGGACTGGACAGGGAGATCAAAGAATGTCAGGGGACGACAGGGAGTAGACAGTGTAGACAGGGACGACGACAGGGAGTGGACAATATAGACAGGGACAACGACAGGGGACGACAGGGAGTGGACAGAGTAGGCAGGGATAACGACAGGGGATCATAGGAGAAAGTCAGGGAGAAACAGGAGGACGACAAGAGATTTTTTGGAATGTAAGGGGATATTTAATTCAGTAGTGTCTGTGCCACACGGGTGACCCTTCATATGTTTAAATCTCTTATAAAATGTCTTCTTTATAATATTTTTGCAGCTAAAAAATGTTACAAACGACGAAATTTAAGTTGAAGTAATATTACAGCTAGAAAATTTCTATGCGAGAAATCACATGCATATGTTTCACACAGAAAATAATTTGAAAATGAGAACTTTTTTTGCTTGCTTTTAATTGCTTAATTTATAGACAATTATTTCTTTTTAATAAGCTTACCCATAAATCTTGATAATAAAAGACAGTACAGACTAATCAGTTTCAACTTACGAAAAGTTGCTGTTTGGGAAAAGTCTGTGTTTGTTTCTTTATTCCCTGAAGGCATTGTAATATCTAGATAAAAAAGATTACCAAAAATATCATTGGGTTAGAGAACAGTGACTGTCCTCATATGCCACTGCTGTTGTATAAAAGTATAGTTACTCTTAAGATTAACAAAGACTAAAATTTAAATATATGGATATTTTCGAATTAAAAGACAGATGCACATTTTTTTTCAAAAAATTTATATTTTGAAAATTTTAGAAACAAAATATTATTTGCATTATCTTTAATTTGCAATTATAAGTGGAATATTGTTTTATTCCGCTGTGGTCTTATTTTTGAGTTATCATGGCAACCATACTATGAATATACATCGTATTATTGTAGGATTATCATAGTTTAATGGTTTACCTGTTACATTTTCCAGAGGTGCAGGAAATTCAGAATAAAAATATTTGAGACCTGAAAATGTAAGACAGAACCGTTTTGAATTTAGATATAAAGTGAACAATTAGAAAACACAGAAGACAAACGTCTAATGATGAAATTTACAATAAAGTGGTTATATAGCACAAATTGATGTCTGAGAACATGGTTTTACAAAAAATCCTGACGACGAATTAATATTAAAGTTTGTTTTTATCATGATGGAATGCACTGTAGTCAATTCAGTATAAATATAATTGATATGGCCTAGCAAATTGTATGAAAAAGATATATCAATTTTTCTTCTTGAGCCAGATAATCATATAATCAACCTGTTTGTCATAGTTCCATCTCATTTTAGAAATTCTCCTTACGAACAACATGCTCTTGGAACTGTAGCAACTTTAGATATACATCAACCCCATATGAAGACAAAAGACAATGTGACCTAGAGGTGCTTATAAGCTTTGCTTTTATTTTTTATTTTCATCAATTATTTTCTCTAGTAACATATTCACATATGAGCAAATATGGCAGACACTACGTTTGATTTCAAGCTAATGGAATGTTGCGAACAAAAAATCATTGTCTCGAAGAATACTTACAAAAACTTGCATTTTCTTGGAGCTGTACAGGGAGAAGTGGTATGAATCTTTTGGCCCTAATTAACTTATCTCTGACGAGACAAGTGGAGTTCGTTTTGTCACTGTCTTCTAACTTTGATAAAACACAATGTCCAATACGCTGGTTCATTCTAATTTCAAATTAGAGGACGGATTTATTTCAAACTTGATATCATTTTCATATTTTTGTTCATACATTTAATCAAAGTGATTAAAAAAAATAGCCTCCTATTTAAAACAAATACGCAAAAGAAAAATTTTCAAAAAATACCATTTTAACAAAACTTAATTCAAAAATAAGTTTAAATTTCTAATGTGGTGTCATTTGATATGTATCATTAATATTTAGATAAACCAACTCCAACAAAAATAATGAAGTAACACAATTAAACTTGCTTTGTTCATTTAAACATTTTAATTTTGCCATATTTAGATACATTGTGAATAAATACCGGCATAGTGATGGTCTATCTGTTGTAATTCTGAAGAATTCTCCGTAACAAGGAATGGCAAAGTCAATCACCGCAAAAGATTCATCTCGACATGGTGAAAGAATGCCTGCAAAACAGGCACTTACAATTATATTTTTGAATGAACGTTCGATGATGTTTAAGTTTTTCAACATGGTCATGCTTTTGTATGATAGAATGTCCTTTTTTCATTAAGAAATTTTGGGTAAATTTATTTGTATATAGTTACTGTAATACTTATTTTAGTAATATCTTATACACAAAGTATAAAGTGAGATATCAGGATAACTTTCTTTCATATTCAAATATCCCTCGTGGTGAGTTGGAGCGTCTGCTCTATAGTCGAGAGTTGAGGAGTTGATCCTTATGTCGCGGGTTCGAATTCCAGTGTGGGGTGTGGATACCGGTCCTTCGGACGAGACTGTAATAGAACCAATCTCCCGTGTCGCAGTAAGTGCTGGCACGATAAAGATCCCTCCCTGCTCAATGGCACTTAGTGCTGAGCATAGGACAAAATTTGCAGCTCTCCACTGGCAAGTGGTGGCGTATCCATAATGGGTGAAAAATTCTCTAGAGGGACAGTAAACAACATACAATCCATCAATCAATCAAATTTCCATCATTTTACTATCTCTCTTTAAAATCCATTACGTTTTTTTTTCAATTTAGAGATCATCTTTGAAAAACTTTAAGGAAAAAAATGACAAGAGATTTGAATTTCACTTATATTGACATTGATTTCTCTTTTATCTTCTCTTCGATATTAACTACTGTTTTAGTTGTCTTTCAGAAATGACAATTCCTTCTAAATTGCTTTCAGAAAAAAATAGTAAAGTTTTTTAACTTAAATTGAGAGATGGACTTCTCTATTAAATCTTCTTAAGTGTCCTTTATTTGCAGAGCAATTGATCGCCATGTAATCAGGGAACAATTAGAACCAGTGGAATTTTCAATATTCTTCTTTAAACATGAGACCAGGTTTAATATATTGCTGAGAAAAATGTGCAGGGCATTTATGAAATGTTAAAATGCTGTTCGTGTAGTAAACAGGAAATAATATGGGCATGATTAAACTTTTGCTAAAGAAATTTTATTATTATTCTTTCAAAAAAATCAAAACATATATTAATTTCAATCATCATCCACTGGTTGATATATTTTTCTTTTAATGCACATACTCAGACCTTATTACCTACAGACTTTATAAAAATTGAATGATTTATTCTAAATAGAAGATTTCAATGGCATATGTTACTACGTACAGTTCTTTTACTTTGATCTATTCTTTAAATTAAATTATGCCTCAATGTTAAATATACATCCTTCTGTATATGTTAATGACGAAACGTTAATATTTTATTGTTAATATACAAACCGCTTACCTACAATATTCACTATCACTTGGAATATCAGAAACACACTGGCTCTTTATTTCTTTTGTATAGAAAGACTGGTTAAGACACGGAGTTACTAAAAAAATATTTAAAAGATAAATATTCTTAGGCTTCCAAACTTAAGTAACATTCAAATAGCTTTTTTTTACATCCTAATAGAAATAAACTGACCACACACTTCCACGCCACAGAGTTCCCAGCGGACATCCGTGTCATTGGTAAAGCACCACGGCTCCTCTCTATCGAAGTTCCGACAGTAGTTCTCTTTTGAAAGGCTAAATACATCATAGCCGTGTTCGTGTGGGGTCTGGACATCCCATCTTTGACATGCTCTACCAGTTTCTGTTACATTTTTCGTTCCTTGATATAAAACTCCAGGCAATCGACAGTCAGGTGAGATAGATCCTGAATTAACTGTTTTTAAAAAGAATATTAGGGGAAACGGCCTCTTTTAATTGTAAATGACCGTATTGTTTTTGAAATCCCTCATATTCAAAGTTACTAGTATATAATGCCAGAATAATACATACATCTTCAAATTTTCTTCAAGCTTATTTTGACAAACTTCTTCCTATATCCTAAAAATTACACTTTTTGTATTATTTTCTCATGCGGTTGTGGCGCATGTACATTTAGGAAATTGACACAGACCACAAACTGGTATGATTGATGAAGACTCCTGGCGCAAGTATATATTGTATACACCTATTTTTCCGATGTAATGCCTGCTACTTATTGTTTTTTAACCACAATGTGCTCTAAATTTCAGCAGAGAGGTTATTATGCCCAGATTTTTATTCAAGCTAGTGAAACATATAGAATAATATATCAAATAAAAGTCATAGGACTTTCCTTTGTTTATGATTCATAAAAATAGTCATTAAACATCGGCTTAGGTTGAGCGCCCCCTTTCAGTGTTCAATAGTTACAGTTTGCAGTGGAAACCCTACCCCATCCCAACAAATGCCAAAAGCCCCGTCTTTTCTTTAGATCCCAAAACTATCAGTTATGACGCTTTACTTAAAGCTGACATGAATTCTTAAAAACGCAACATGTTCATCTATGTACGACTTGTTTCATACCAACTTTAGCCGTATTTCGCCATATTTCTTTCAGATACCTTGTCTCATTGTAACGATATATACCCCAATGCGCTCGTTACACTTGAATGATTTTTTGGTTTGGGTATCGACTTGTGTACATCTCCGATAATAACCGTGAAGCATATGAGAACACATGAGGAGATCAAGACATTTCAAATCCACAATAAACAACATAATAATCATATTTCTGAATAATTATTGATTTGAATCAAATGAAAAAAATGCAAGTTTGGTGAGAAATTTAGATGCACGAGTACATATTTTTACAGTGCGCCAATTTATGCAGAATAAACTTGAAATAAAAAGCAGTAAAATCTGCAAACACAATTTGAAATTATATCATTTGAATGGAATAAAACAACCAACGTCTTTGATTTGCAGCCCCTATGCAATTGATGCATATCGAGAAAACGCCTCGAACGCTGTAAACGTACCCATACCTGGTAATAAGGTTACTGCATCGCTTCGAAGATGTGCACAAGTCAAGTGATATACACCCTGAATTCCATTTATTGAAATATGCATCACAAAAAAGAAATAAACTCCACAAAAGCTCAATAGTAAACACACTTTCATTACTCCGTACAGACTAGCACGTCGATACACTTAGTCCGTGCATGCTGATCAGATTTTGGTCAGGGAAAATATCACAAGTGGAAAGAGAAGTTATTTGGTATTTGCGCGGCTGAAAAAGGGGGGGGGGTATAATTGTGCTATAATTGTGAATCGTCTATCTACATGTAGTTCTAATATACATTCTATACAAAGTCATGAATATAGTCTGCAGTTGGTTTGCGTCGCAAAATTCATTTGTCAATTATAACTCATTGTTTTAGTACTAATCTCAAATCTAAACCAGGTAATTTGATGTACGGTAATTATTTACTTCAAATCTTAAAAGCAGTCAACCAGAATACAATTTTTTATGTGTACATAGATCTATACGTTCTTTAACACACAAACACACGAAGAAATGCCATCTCCTGTTCAGATTGACATTTAGGCATTTGATTTTTTAGGCGGGGGGGGGGGGGCGTGCAAAAATAATTGACATGACCGTTATCTAAATATTCTTGGAAGACAGACATCTCTGGCGAATTCAATTTTGAAATTTTTTTTAAAATGTGTCACTCCGACCACAAAGTATGTGCATTTTGAGGAATGTATAAATGTTTTATAATTATGTTGTTTTAGAGAGTCTTTCGAGATTTCAGTATCCCTGCCTGATAGTCTAGCTATTTTTTTTTATATAAAAATAATTTCTGTAGGAGTATTTGGGAGATAATTTTAAAAGCTAGGGTAGGGATTCTTGACACTGGTTGAATACGGATAATTTTTATTTACTCTTTTGTATACTGAACTCTCTCTCTCTCTCTCTCTCTAACCATCCCTTAGGGCAATAATAGGTATAAGATCCTACGCACTTTGTGCTGTACCATTATTAAGCCTTAGGACAGATCAAGGATTTTTTTTTTCAGGCGGCAGGGCCGTAACTAGGGGTAAAAGATAGAGGAGGCGCGGGTTTGGGGGCCGCCGATTGAGGCCCCCAAAGATCGGGGGTGTGAGGGGCGAAGCCCCCCGCAAAAAATTGCTTCAAACGGCTCAATTTTGGACCATTTCCTTGATTTTGAGATAAAGGGGCGACTGAATGAAGACTGTGTGTCGTAAAAGGCGACTGAATGAAGACTGTGTGTCGTAAGGGGCGACTGAATGGGGAGTGTGTGTCGTAAAAGGCGACTGAATGGGGACCCGTAATGATCTGAGTTACTTAGAGTAGGTCCTCATCGTCCCTTGCGTGTTGTAAGATTGTTTATAATTTTACGTCCCGCTCAAGAATATTTCACTTATATGGCGTGTTGTAAGAAGCAACTGAATGGGACAGTCCCTCGGATGAGACGGAAAAAACCGAGGTCCTGTGTCACAGCAGGTGTGTCACGATAAAGATCCCTTCCTGCTCAAAGGCCCTGAACGCCGAGCATAGGTAATGGTGACACTCACTGGATAGCTGAAAAATTGCTCAGGTGGCTATAATCAAACAAATAAATGATCAATCTTGATCCAGCTGCTTGTGTTGTGTTTCTTATTTCCAAAAAAAAAAAATGAAAATCAAGAGGAGGCAATTGCCTCCGTTGCCTCAATGGTAGTTACGGCCCTGAGGCGGGATGTCAAAACTTCATAAATTGAATAATAATTTTAATTTGGACAAGAAGTTAATCCAAACGGCCAAATTGAAAGAGAAACTAGAGGTATTGTGAGCAATTAGCTCACTAAACGATACCCCCGCCTCCCATGTGGTTATAATGGCAAAGTCCATATTTTGCTGTTGTCGCTAAACCCAAAATACGTGTCGGATCAAAAAGTAAAATAGGAGGTGCACAATGGTAATATGTAATAAACCTAAGATTCTGTGAAAGTTTCACTTAGTGGTATAAGAGGATTTGCGGATAAAAGATGGGTACCCCAAAGCGTAACAGACCGACGGACGGACATAACTATTACTATATACCCTCCCACTTTTCAAGCGGAGGATATAATAAACGTGAAACATACATCACAGGAATGGGTACATTGGGAACTTTTTCAAATACCTTCTCAAACGCATTGGCCTCGGAAGCAAATTGAAAGTGGGGGTGGGGGCTAAGTGCAAAGAATTTTTTTTATACATTCAAAAAATCTGACAAACTTTAAAAAAAGGGGGAAATGTCCTTTTCCAAGACACGAATATCTTATTTCGTGTGGGGGAAAGGGGGGGGGGGAGGTAGGTTCGAACTTTAGTAACAAAATTTTTCTCCAAACACCAACACTTTCCTCTTTTTTAATCTATACTGCGACTTGTCTGTGGAAAGTTGGGGGGGGGGGGGGGGGGGCTAAACCTACGCAGCAATGTTCAATGTCTATACTAAGTATATATTTCTAAAAAAGCCACCCACGGTTCCGACACCTATGCTCAAACATACGAGTCGAACCCGGACCTGGACAACAGACAAGAGAATTTTTAAAAAGCTAATTGTAGATAAAATGTGGAATTCTCACGGGGGGTTTGCTCTCTCTTTCTCTCTGCTTTTTCTAGTAATCATTAATTTTTTATGTCTAGAAATTTAATTCACATTGAATTCTATTTTCATTATCATTGTACCACAGAATCATGCTCGTTTATTATACCCCTTGCAACAAGTTGCGTGAGGTATAATGTTTTGGACCCATCAGTCAGTCCTTTTTTTTTTTTTTGGTCAGCGCAACTTCTTATAAACCACTGCACAGAGATTTGTCGATTTTTCGAGATATTTATAGGAGTCAATGTGTGTCTAGATTTGCACATCACCAGGAAATTCCGAATTCTTTATTTTTTCGGGAATTTCCGCACTTTTACATTTAGAATTTGGCCATGTCTTGAATATAGAGATGAGCAGTTTTTTCTCAGCGCAATTCCTCATAAACCGCTGCATACAATTTCTTCAAACTTGGCAGATATTTAGGACACAATGTGCATAGATGTGCATATAACAAGGAAATTACGATTCCTTTATTTTTTTCTGGGAATTTCAGCACTTCGACTTTGGGGGGAGCGTGGGGTATGTTTTCATTCATTGTGCATAAAATTATAAATGACTTTAAATCAAATTATATTAGGTCTAATAAAGCCAATACACAGTATTTATTTGATAATAATTGATCATAAAGAAATCAATCTGTTTCAGACGTTTTTCTTAAATTATTTTTATGAGAGTGTTAATATGCATGTTTTATTACAACCCCCCCCCCCCCTCCTATCACAGGAAAATATCTTCAAAAGGTGAATGATTCGAAATAACGCATGCTTTATTATAAATTTAATGAAGTTAAACCATGTAATCATAAATTCTTTTTGCAACATTTACAGACAAGAGTAATGTTTAGTTTTTAAAAAATTACTTGCATTTTTTTCAATCAACCCCACTGAGCTTTCAACCTTTGATATTTTCCCTGACCAAATAAAATGATCGGCATGGGCCACGTGTGTCCAAGCATCTTTTACTGTTGAGTTAGCAATGGATTACATGACTTCTGAGATGCATTTTTCAATAAAAGTAAAATAGGATAATTCTTTCGACATGTGCACATCCCTGTAACGATAGCAGTATATTCAGGTAAATGTTTTATCACTGCGTTTGACGCGTTTTCTCGACCTGTATGGATTTTTGCTGTACATGAATGTATTCCGTGTTAGTGTATTTTCTATATTGCAGCAAATGCAGTCAAAAATAATTTAATTCTCGGTTTAGTTCTATTTTTTTGTTGAATTCATGTATTTGGTCAGTTTATTCAGTTTATGGATTTCTAAAAACTATGCTATCGGAGATGTGTACATGTCGACAGCCAGGCTAGAAAATCACTCAAGTGAAACAATTCTACAAGGCTATATATAGCAGGTACGGGTGGCCAAAAATCTTCGATAAAATATGGCGGAATCGAAGAAATATGGCGGACAAGGGCGTACAGGAATGTAATAAGTCGTACAAAGATGAAAACTAATGCCTTTTTAAGAGTTCATGTCAGCTTTAAGGTAAGGTTTGCGTTAACAGGGAGATAACTCTTGCGAATCACCAAAGCGTTTGAAACAGGCGAATTTAAACCAGCGATGATAAGCATCTCGGTAACGAATTTCCTCTGTCATACTTGATGTTTGTTGTCACTTATTGTTAGGACTAAAAACAAAGGACGTTTTCGGGAGAAAGTCTTATAACAAATTAAAGCATAGGAATCTTAGAAGCCTTTGAGATTAGCGTGATGCATGTGGATGAACCAATAAAGGAGGACTTGTTTATTTTCGATACGGAACGTGGCAAGTTGAACGGCCATTCCGATCAGAAGAAAGTGCCTGACGCATTGTGCTGTTGTGTGTTTCTCGCTTCACCACTACACGAAAATTTTAAGTGAGAATGGGAAAGAAAAAAGAAAAGACCTGAGAGTATCCTGTAAAGTATTATGCTATATGCAGTCCGAACAGGGAAGAAAAGTCACAGTGCATTTGACAATGTCCAATGATGATGCTGACAGCTTGATTGTTGATAGTATTTTCATCAGGTAATTATTTAACTATTCATTTTACTGAAAGTTATGAATGATCTACTGACTACAGATTTAAAAACGACGAATAAACGGTACAAGGATGTCAGGATGTGACTAATATCCCAACATTGCCAAAAAACAAATATGCATTCATTCAAGAAATTATGAAAAATAAAATCCTTGCTTTTTAGGCCTAATATTTGTAACATTATTGGAACAGGTATTCAATTGTTCAAGTTACCTTTTTAAATGAGATTTGATTTTATTTAATATCTCATTTTATCATTAATAAAAAAGATATACAGATTGTGCATGACAAGAACATTAATTTTCTTGATCAAGCATTTGCATTTCACTAATTCAATGATTTCAATCTGTGAATTTTACAATAATTTCATATTGATTCTTCATTGATTATATTGGAAATTTATTCATTTCATTGAGTGAATGAAACTCAGTGCAATTTCTTATGCAATTTCAAAAATGCAATTCCTTAAATGTTATTGTAAAAATGAACACATATGATTTCAGATCATGGGTCATTAATTGGAATAGATAAGAACAAAAAAAAAGTACTTCAGTGTTTCCTTAAAAGATTTGTGCCATCAATCAAAGTAGAGTTTATCCCATATCAGCTCAAGAATATTAAAGAAAGTTGGATGGATCAAGCTAAGATGTTGAACCAGACGTGGCAAAATCAATGGAGATTTGGAGAAGAACTTCTGACTTGTTATACCCAATGCATATTTTATATGTCTATAGATCATAGAAGAAAATTTAATGTTTAACAACATCCTATTTAGTATATACATGCTGTTTTCCATATATTTAGAAAATATGTGTTTGTGATGATTGCAGTGCATGCTCTGTTTGTCCATCTTTGAATTTGTTTTCAGTTAAATAAATGTATACATCATAGGTATTAATTGAAGGTTGCTTTTGTCTATACTTACATGTAACAAGTTTCTTAAAAGGGTTTGTAAAATTGCAAGGAAATTAATACATGAACAATTAAGATTAATATTTTTATTCATTAAAATTTGTTCTTACCAGGACCTAATATGCTCAAATAGGTATTTCTGAAAACTGATGAGTTTTGTACATAAAGCTGCAGTGAACATGTATAATTATATCTACTGCAACAGTTTAAAACATGACACTTGGAAATTGTAAGGTTGTTAATTTAGTAGGAATGATAAGACCAGTTTAGTAATCTACTAAAATTAAAATCTTTCACAAATACATGTAGTTTATTTAAAATTGTTTACATTTATAATCTTTTAATTTTTTAAGATTCTCAGACTACCTAATCCAATGATTGAGCTAATGTCCATGAAGTGTAGAAATAGACCATCTTTAAAAAATGTTTGGTTGTCGGCCTCTCCAGACCGACTGACTAAAATGATCAGACTGAAAACTTTTTTCAATGCAGGGCCGTATTTTTTTCTTTTTATTCCTCTTATCCCCCTTAAAAAAATGTTGTTGAAGATTTTCTCACCTACCGACCAAATAATTTTACCCTGAGTCAAGAGAGGGCAAACAAACATTACTTTAAAGATAGCATTTCTACTCTTCGAAGTAAAGAAATCATTTAATTATAAAAACAGCAGCTTCGTGGATGCAATGCTTACAACATTTCACTCAAAAAATGGCATACATGTATAATGACAGTCATCAGCCATAACTGAATAAAGATATTTTGCTACAAAGATGTCTAGAAGTTACTACATGTTGGAATAACTAAATCAGCATGAGGTCGAATTCCTAGGCTTTTAATTGGTTTATTTGCAACATGTTCTGAGGTATGTTTACAGGAGCGTAGCAACAGGGGGGGCCTGCCCCCCCCCCCCACTTTTTTTCCCAACCTTACTTATGCTATAGGAAATCTTAATTGAAAACTGGGTTGGCCCCCCACCCTAAGTGATGTACCGAAAATGTAGCATTAGAATTGGTACTGAAAGAAGTTGACACTGAGAAAAAGTTTACCTCTACCCCCCCCCCCCCTTCCCCGTCACGAAATAGGATTTTCCGCTTTGGGCAACTTTTTACCTTTTTTTTTTTGCTTGTCAACTTTTTCAGGTAAGTAAAAAAAAGAATTTTCTGGCTGGCCCCCACTTTCAAAAACGATGCTACGCCACTGGTTTATATACATATACATGTACTTCTAAAGGTGTTGCAGTATAATTCATGGACAATTTCATCAGAATATTCAGATGTAAAGATTGCCATAAATACTAGAGTTCTTCCATGGAATAAATTTTTAGACCATCATGTAGCACAGGAGGAGTTTTATTTTGAATATTTTTGGCCAATTTATGCCTAAAAACAATATCAAAAATAACATTTAGTCTTTAACATTCACCATGACAAGGTGATATCAATGTTGTCTTTAAAAGTATAGAAAAAGCCTGATTTTTATGTTCCGAACCCATAATATAGCCCCTGTTTCCATGGAAATAATATTGGGGACATACATATTTTTTTAGTTCAAATTAATGAAAATGATCAAATTAATAACTTCATGGATTTTGATGGAATCGGTAGATATGTAAAACGTTGATTTTTATATTTTTGTTGCCATGGCAACGGTTTCACTTTATCAAGGAAAATTGAAAAATCTTCTTTTTTACCCAAATTTTCACATTTTTGATAACGGAAAATTAAAAGTTTAAATAATAGAAGCATGAATTATACTAATTCAGGTCATTTTAATTATAAAAGTTTGATAATTTATAAAATAAATCAATATTTTCAATGAAAATAATATTCGAGGTGAAATATGAAATACGTTAAATTTGGCGTCTTTTACTAAAAAAATGGGACGGGCAATATCTTTGAAAATCATATTAAATGATGAAGCTTATCTCCTTGAATAAATTGATATATAGCATGTGTGCATATTAAAAAAAATATGAGTTGGAGGGAGACGCAAACCTTACCTTAATAATAAAAAAATATAGATATTTCAAGGAGACTTGGAGATTTTTGTACTTCTTGTCTGTATTTTCAGCTGGCCATTTTCAAATAAAATATGGTTTAAACGAAGTAGACCTTGGGCGATTATATTCAAAAGTAAAGCAGACAATTGCGTGTTTTTTTTTAATTCATCGAGAATTAGTTTTATTCTTTTTCTTTTAATCATTTAAAACCCAGATACCAAAAAGAAGACAAAAACAGATGACAAATAAGTGACTGTAATACATATGACGGTAATAAATGCAATATTAATGATTATAATGTTTATCATCTACATCATTTTTCATAAATTACTTTTAATTGAAAAAATATTACTTAAAATATACATGTTATAACCGAAACTACTTCATCAACTATATAAAATATTTGTATTTAAAAATATGTTAAGTTTTTTATTGAATAAGAACAAAACATTTCACAATCAACAATATCATATAGTAGTTGCCTTTTATACTAACAATATATAATACCTGTAAAGGAAAAGAGAAAGATTCCAGTAAGTAACCTAAAACTTATCATTTCAGTTACATGGTTAGTTAATCTCAGGAGGGAAATATATTGAAAAGCTGAAACCAGAAATTAGATCAGATTTAACTTCCTTTCTTTGTATACTGTATATAATAATGAGAAAAGGGGATGTTAATGATCTGTACGCATTTCCTATATGCAAGACTTTTTTCCTGTAAAATGAATATTACTAATATATTTTTTAGTTTAAATCACTAGTCAGTTTGTTTGATTTTAAAGAGACTGTTTGTTAAATCAGTATGTAGGTCATAAACCTCGCTTGTTTTACGACAATATCCAAAGCTTAGAAAAGGTTTCACCTAAAAATGCGTGTCAAACACTAAGTCGCAATATATCATATCTAAGTTGAAACTAATCATTATTTGGCCTTATCCCAGCTATAATTTACATGATTGTATGTAATATTGTATATTTATGTGTTTTTGTTCACTTTCGTCATTTATCTGGTCAATAAATGACATTTTCACTCAACTCAAGTTCTCGTGTCTTCACTAGTTTTCAAGTAACAAGAACAAGCTACGGAAAGGCTTTTCATATTGTGAAAGTTACTTTTATTAGTGGAAAAGTTGTGGATATAAATGATATATTAGGATATTTAAAATACATGCAGTTCATTGTTTTACGACAATATCCAAAGCTTAGAAAAGGTTTCACCTAAAAATGCGTGTCAAACACTAAGTCGCAATATATCATATCTAAGTTGAAACTAATCATTATTTGGCCTTATCCCAGCTATAATTTACATGATTGTATGTAATATTGTATATTTATGTGTTTTTGTTCACTTTCGTCATTTATCTGGTCAATAAATGACATTTTCACTCAACTCAAGTTCTCGTGTCTTCACTAGTTTTCAAGTAACAAGAACAAGCTACGGAAAGGCTTTTCATATTGTGAAAGCTACTTTTATTAGTGGAAAAGTTGTGGATATAAATGATATATTAGGATATTTAAAATACATGCAGTTCATATCATATCAAAAACTTTCAATTCAAACTATTTTGATTACTTCGCAGTTTTAATTAAAAAAATTTATCAGGCATGAAGCTTATTTTAACCTAAAAAGTGTGTTATAAGATATAACACACAGCGGTTTATAAAAAAGTTAGACTGTCCAACGTTATGTTATATCGTATAACATATCAATAGGTTTAAATATTTTAGCTTCATTCCTCATTTAATTTCAGTATATACACTTTTCCCTCTAAAAATGGTTTAAAATTGTGCGTCAAAACGAGTAATACATTTTTTACCTAATCATTGCGATGTAGGCAAAGTATGTTATACGATATAGAGTAAATCTTTTATCTCATCAAATGACGTATATTTCTTAAATTAAATTATACATATTTACTTACGAGAGAGAGAGACCTTTTGAAGGGATTGTTTAAAAGGTTTATTGCATTACAGATCCATTGATTTTCCCTGCATTCTATATAGACATTGAGAAATCAGTCAGGCTTCTTTTGACGATACACTCGACATAAATTGATAATCAATGTTGTAATTAACAATCAAGATATCAATTGTGAAATCGTATACCAAACATACATTTTTATCAAACTCAATCTTGTCATCAAAGAAAGTAAGCAGGGCTATGTTTTTTTCTTTCATCACAAGTACCAGAATTCCATCAATGTTAAACAGATGTCATGCATTACAAAAACATGATCCAGTCAGCCAAATAATTCAATTTGTGCAACAACAAAAAACTTTTGTGGATGACTGACAAAAGAAATACGTAAACAGAAAATTTAAATATAAATTGGCTCATACACATTTAATTTCCAAAATGTTTTAAAAATATTTTTTCAATGTCAAGAATGTTTCGTTCGCAAACAATGGCAAAATGCCATTCCTAGAGTTTTACTCGCATGTAACACCGGCATCCTCAAAATGATAACAATTATGGCTTCCTATTGGAGAATGTTCACACAACAGCAGATGAGATTCCGACCCAGAGCACTTCACACCGTCTAGCCAGATAGGGCCCTCACCTTTCCCAAAATAGGCAGCTGTTCTTGGAGTGGCAATACTGAAAGTAAATAAATGATCTGTTTAGTGACAGTTAAAAGTAAGTTACAGCTAAAAAGAATGAAACAAATATTTCTTTAAAAGGTACGGAAAGTCACTTAGAATCCCAAAGACATGTTGTATCTTTTTCATTTCAATTTACGCCAAGTCAGGATTTCAAACACGACCAAGCCGTGATCTTTACATGCATAATCTTGACCAAGTCAGGATGGATATCTCGGTCAAATGAAGACTGATAACAAGGGTCCGCTATGGCTTTCCATAAAACACTTACCCGGTATACCCCATCATTTGGCAAACAACCCGAGCTTCTGTTTCGGTCCAAGAATCAGCACAAATGGTTCCCCATGTGTTGTTGATAGAGAGTTCAACCCTGCCTTCGTTTTGCGAACTTCCGCTTTGTAATCGTATTGAACCTTTAAAACGATCGTCAAAACAAAACAATCTTATATACAATATGCATAAAAGAGAAGTTAATTTATAAATATATAAAGAATATTAAGATTTCCAATTGTGGTACGTGGAATAGTTAAGGTTTGATCAACAAATTACAGCAAATTTCTTAATAAGATCTGTAATACCCAGGAATTCGCAGATCAAAGAAAGAGGTGACCATTTCCTTCCGGGTGTACAGTTTGTTGTGTTTCCTTGACCTATGGCAATGTAGTTCTGTTGACAGCCAAATGTTACAGAAGGAGGATAATAATTTGACGTAGAATAATTCCATTTTCCAGGAAAGGGACAGGTTCTGAACGAACATTCTTTAAAGAAAAAAATAGCTACCTTAAGACATATAAGAATAGATGATTCTAATATTTGAGAATCGTTACATAATTGAGAAACTTTCTTAATATATTTAATTAATAAATATAGGTAACCAAAAAACATTGCAATGAATGACAGCAATATTTATTACAAATATACTGATATATTTATATGAAGCCAACACAAATTATTCTATTGTAAAATTTGTTCATAATATTCATAATAAAACAACAATTAATAAAGTGTTTTTGCATAGTACCTCGAGCTAAAACAGCATTTTCCCCCATTTACATGTTTTCTTTTGATTAATGATTGATTGATTGTATACTGTTTAACGTCCCTCTCCAGAATATTTCACTGATATAGAGACGTCACCATTGCCGGTGAAGGGCTGCAAATTTAGGCCTATGCTCGGCACTTACGGCCTTTGAGCAGGAAGGGATCTTTATCGTGCCACACCTGCTGCGACACGGGGCCTCGGTTTATACGGTCTCATCCGAAGGGCCGCCCCATTTAGTCGCCTTTTACGACAAGCAAGAGGGTACTGAGGGCCTATTCTAACCCAGATCCCCACGGGGCTCTTTTGATTAATATTTAAATTCAAGATTTTGCAATAAGTTTCACATACGCATTTGAACTAATTTGAAAATGAATTGCTAGAGTAAAGTTTAAGTTTTATAAACATGCCAGAAATACTTGGCATGCCGAATCAAACGTAATTTCTTTAGGGGTTTTAATTAATGTGCTTGCCAAGCATATTCCATACGCATTTTAATTGTTACAGGATTTGAAAAAAAATGTTTTAGAAGAAATCTCTTATGCTGATAACGAACAGTAATTGAGCCCAAACGTCCAGTCAAATGATATTAATTTTACAATGTAAGTTAAGTGTGCCTGCAGTTCTAATTAATATATTTCCAAAATCTCCTTAAACAGAATAATGACCAACCTGTTAGTGTAGCAATGCAGATTTTCTTGGTTGATGACGTAGAAATACAGGTGGAATAGTTGTTACATAATGAATCTCCACAAAGTGTTCTGTTGTCATCCTACAATTATAACATACATAATGAATCTCCACAAAGTGTTCTGTTGTCATCCTACAGTTATAACATACATAATGAATCTCCACAAAGCGTTCTGTTGTCACCCTACAGTTATAACATACATAATGAATCTACACAAAGTGTTCTGTTGTCGCCCTACAATTATAACATACATAATGAATCTCCACAAAGTGTTCTGTTGTCACCCTACAGTTATAACATACATAATGAATCTCCACAAAGTGTTCTGTTGTCACCCTACAGTTATAACATACATAATGAATCTCCACAAAGTGTTCTGTTGTCACCCTACAGTTATAACATACATAATGAATCTCCACAAAGTGTTCTGTTGTCACCCTACAGTTATAACATACATAATGAATCTCCACAAAGTGTTCTGTTGTCACCCTACAGTTATAACATACATAATGAATCTCCACAAAGTGTTCTGTTGTCAGCCTACAATTATAACATACATAATGAATCTCCACAAAGTGTTCTGTTGTCAGCCTACAATTATAACATACATAATGAATCTCCACAAAGTGTTCTGTTGTCAGCCTACAATTATAACATACATAATGAATCTCCACAAAGTGTTCTGTTGTCACCCTACAATTATAACATACACAATGAATCTCCACAAAGTGTTCTGTTGTCACCCTACAATTATAACATGCATAATGATTCTCCACAAAGTGTTCTGTTGTCACCCTACAGTTATAACATGCATAATGAATCTCCACAAAGTGTTCTGTTGTCATTATACAGTTATAACATACATAATGAATCTCCACAAAGTGTTCTGTTGTCAGCCTACAGTTATAACATACAAAATGAATCTCCACAAAGTGTTCTGTTGTCACCCTACAGTTATAACATACATAATGAATCTCCACAAAGTGTTCTGTTGTCAGCCTACAATTATAACATACATAATGAATCTCCACAAAGTGTTCTGTTGTCACCCTACACTTATAACATACATAATGAATCTCCACAAAGTGTTCTGTTGTCACCCTACAATTATAACATACATAATGAATCTCCACAAAGTGTTCTGTTGTCACCCTACAGTTATAACATATCTAATGAATCTCCACAAAGTGTTCTGTTGTCATCCTACAGTTATAACATACATTGATCTGATCTGGACGTTCGATTTTTTTCTTTAATTAATATTTTTACTGCTACATATCAAAGACTACAGCTGTATAATAAATATTTAAAATCCTACATTATATTTGTAACAATTAAAGTTGTGTACTTACGTCTTTTGTTAGTTCTTCAAAAATGTAGTTGCTATCATCGACAAACCGTGATGATGAATTTCCCAACACATTAAGCAATTCACATTCAAACGTTTTCCGATTGAAATTGATGGAAAAGCACGACGCGTGTTTTTCGCATTGTTTCAAACAGAGTCGTTACCCTATATCTTTTATGATTTTTATAGGATGCACAAAAAGTTTCTTTCCTACAATTCTGTCTTCATTGAAACTCATACAAGGATCGCTAGAATGAATTAAAGGAAATACTATAATGAGGATAAAATATGTGACGTTCCTCAACATTTTGTTACTCAGAGTAGGAGGCTAGGTTTCAATCTTCACTTCAAACCTCAAAATCTTTTTGTGCTATCTGCTTCTCTCCAAGCTATTAAATGTACTTTTTTATTTTGTTTAATTTTCTACGCTTAAGACACTATTGTTTCAAATTATAAAGAGTTTCACTTAAAAGGAATTTGTTCGATTTCTATTATTTTTTTAATTTCCTTTATTATGAATGAATGAAATAAAGCTTCTTTCTAAAGCTCTCAAATATCCACTTGTTTCAGCTGTTTTTGAATTTCAGATTCAATGAAACAGAAGAACAAACCCAATAATTATGGGTTTCCATTACATTTCAAAGACTTCAATTAACCGTCAATATTAATGAAATACCAGTAAAAAAGTATTGTAGCTTGGGTCATTTTATATGCTTTCTGTAAAAGTGTAGCGACATATTGGAGGTTATTGGTATAAAACTAAGGGGTAAATTAATGTTGATTCTAGGAAAAGACAGGTGTTATAGCCAAAAAAAGGAACGAAGTACGGGTAATGTTAGAACCTTATATCAATTCATTTTTTATTCAAATTATAGTTGTGAAAGTATATCAAAACATATATCAACCCAGAATCATTAAGTGTGCCTTGCCAGGTATCAAATGTTTTGATGAAAGTATACTTCAATTCTATGAAATAAAGATTTAAGGAATAACTATCTAGTTTTTTGGTTTTATTGTGTGACTTGCATGAAAATTCTGCATAAATGCCGTCCCGCTCGTCATTTTTTTTTAAACTGCGCCTATCGATGAACCAGTAGATTTAGGCAGAAATAAAGTATTTTACTACAGTATTTGTAATAATAATAAGAACCTTATATTATTGCCTTTTTTATTGAAATTATACTTGTGAAAGTATATCAAACATGGCAAACAAGCGAAAATAAAACTTTCTTAAATGCAAGATCAATGGAAATGCAATTCTAATATGAAATCAGGCCAGGGTAAAAAATTTTCATAAGTTTGGAAATCTTGGAATCCAATGTGTTTTCACAACGATTACACATATATAGTATAAGATCATTAGCCCTTAGCGTCTAAAAGTTATAGCCAAGATTAAAGCTTTTTCATAAGTACGAAAATCTCCAAGGTCATGGTCAAAAAAGTCAAGGTAATTGGCCTCCAATGATAGGTCTTGTCTCAAGGAATGCATATGTAAAGTATGAAAGCCCTAGTCCTAACCGTTCATAAGTCATGGCCAAAGATAAAAAAAAATAAAAGTAGGTCAAACTCCAACGTCAAGGTCATTGAGTCAAAGGTATTGCTATCAAATGAAAAGTCTTGTTACAAGCATCAAATATATGTAAAGTATGAAACCATTAGACATAACCCATTAAAAGTTCTGATCAAAGTTTGCTTTTTAAAAGTAGGTCAACTTTCAAGGTCAATATCAAAGGGTCAAAGTTTTTGGTATCCAATGAAGGTTTTTCTCATAAGAATTACATATGTGAAATATGAAAGCCCTATCCCTTACTCGTTCAAAAGTTATGGCTAAGGTAAAAGTTTTTTCATAAGTATGGAAATCTCCAAGGTCAAAGGTCAAAGTTGTTGGTATCAAATAAAAGGTCTTTCCACAAAAAATACATATGTGAAGTATAAATGTCCTGGTATTTACTGCTCAAAAAATATGGTCAAAGTTGTGAATTTTTGTGTAAAAGTGGGCCAAACCCCAAAGTCAAAAGGTCAAATTTAGTGAAACCAAAAGAAAGGTCTTTTTACAAGGAATACACACGTAAAATATGAAAGGCATAGCTCCAAAAGTTATTAGCAAGGTTAAAGTTTTTGCGGACAAACAGACCAATAGAGAGAAAGACAGAGACAAATAATAGAGAGACAGCTAGACAGACGGACGGACACGACAAAATCTATATACCCCCGAACTTCGTTTACGGGGGCATAATAAGGAAACATATCACGAGGTTTAACTGATTGATAAGCAAGTACTAATTTATCGTTTTGAAAAGTTTGCAAATCTTGTGACAAAGACTTTTTCGACATAGGTTCTACCTAATAGGATTAATTTTACTTTACATTTATTGTATTACTCATGGTCCAATGAATATGCAACTCGGTCCGAAATTCAAATGTCAAAATCCCAACCAATCCAGCAAAACAATATTTTGAAAATTTCTCCTGGTAAATCCCTTTCTCCTCCTACATGTAACTGCTTTGAATTAATTTCAGAGTATTTAACAAGTTAAATTGATGCAAAGCATCAAATCGGCCGCAAACAAAATTTAGCATAAACAAATTTCTTTTACAATTTTCAAAGTGTCCATGAAAGGAAAGCACGTCAAGATACTAGTATTCAAAGGTGAATTAGTTGATTCATTTTTATTTTTGGCTGTCTTCAAAGCAAAATAAATAATTAATTAAAATAAAAAATAGACATTTCCTCCTTTTGCTTATAAATAGATTCATCTTTGTAAAAAGGGCAGCAATAAATGATAAGAATTTATTGCCATCAAAATAAAGATGTAGGTATCTCAAGATGAACCAGGTGCTGATACCCTGGATCTTGGTCACGTGATAGTGCCCATGGCTGTGCTGCAATGCGCAGTACAAAATGTAGAAAAATTTCTTTGTGTTATTTGCAGCCGTAGAGCATGTTCAAATCAATTTTTACTGGTTGAATTTTTTTTCAATTTTTATTCACCAATCCATGCACATTTACACGTCATTTTTATCCGGAAAATCATGACGATTTCCTTTCATATCTTATACACTCCCAGGCTAGGGAGTATCTATTGTTAACTCTTTTTACATAACCACAAATTATCAATTATCTGATGAGAAATGATGAAGAAATTGAAACATAGTAGCAACAATTAACACTATATTCAAAGCAATTTTTGAAAATATTTTACTCATGGTTTTCTACTTGTTATCATTTGAGAAATATTTTCCTGACCTAATGAAAAATAACGTCTCATTTCCCCATGTGCACTTTCTAACACAATCACAAATAGATCGGCCGCTGCTGCGGCCGATAATAAAGGATACTATTAGATATTTAAAGCTGAACGCGACTCGTAAATAGGCATACGCCGTTTTCGATAGCATTATCTACGATATATCAATAATTACCGTCTTCCTTGAAAGACGGTATTATATAGTTGAAGTTTTTATACAGTCTTCGGACTATGCACTTCCTCTCTTTTGTGATTGGTAGAAATTGCATGATGAGAAAATTTTCAACTATTTCATCGGTTGAAATGCTGTTCAAGGCAAGGGAGATAACTTTCTGATGATCTAATTTTCGTACGACTTAACAATTTTGCAAGATTTCCAATCTTAAAAAAATGACAAAACGAACAGCAAAATCAGCAGTAATTAATTCTTAATAACATGGTATTTTTTATAGCAATAAATGAATAAGTCTCTTAAATTTCATTATAAATAAAATTTGATTTTCATAGCTTGCAGGCTTTACAATTTGTTATTATTCTTTTCTCCTTTCTTATTTGAAGAAGGGAATGGAATCAGCCGAGGTTTGCCGAAAGCTCTCGGTCAGTCAAAGTTTACGGAGATGACCGAGCGACAACCGTGGTAGGGCTAATGCCAGTAAAAAGCTAATGTAGAAATACAAAATTGAAAAGAATTATATGGCCTGATAGGTGTAGATCAGTTAACTGTTTAAGATTAATGCTAAAGACGGTAAGCTTTTTAGAAAAGCTCTACTTGTAGGGTATACTCCTCGCATTCGTTACACCTGACTGCTTTATTGTCACGGGTATCGGCGTGGAATGGCGACCCGTGTTCGTGCTGGTTATCTTGCATTACCTTTGTTTATATTTTATTGCAGTTACGTTTATCTGTGTTGTTTGTATACTGCACTGGCATATACAACTATAATTGTAAATTTATTTGGTATCATACTTTCATGCATGAGAAGAAGTATAACGTTATTATTCTCGCTACCGAGTCCTGTATAGCATACGTCCGTCTACACCGGTGTCGACTGATTACACTGAGCATAGCTGCAGACCTGTAGCTCTCCGAAAAATATATTGACAGACCGGAGAGCTACAGTGCCACTCATTGTAAAAACTGTATATTTATTGCACACAAAAAGTTGCGCTTCGTTCTGGAATAATTCTTCCAAATTCTTACCTCAATCGTAAAAAAAATTGATTTCAAAAAAATATTCCTTACTTCTCTGTTAATTAAGTACTCTCGTAGTCGACATCTGCACGAAGCTTGTTGAACCGAAATATCTTGCAAACCAAAATGGCAGTATAAATAGACGAAATTGTCAATAATCTTAATTTCAGGGCATAGAGGGCTATTAACAACAATTATGAGGGATGTTTTGCTGTGGAATAAGTGAACTAATATGTTAGGAACATACGTTTAGTAATATGTTGAGATAGATGTTTAAAAACATGGAGAAATAAATTGAGAAACAGCCCACTTTTTTGTACGCAATAAATATACAGTCTTTTTTCAATGGGTGGCACTGTAAAGAATACCCCCCCCCCCCCACTTCCGATAGCTTGTTCCATTTAATTAATAACACCAAGTAATAGTTTTTCAAAAGA